GGGGCGGCTCGCGCCGCTGCCCCGAGGCTCCATGGAAACGGCCGTGGGCTGGGCACAGTCCGCGGGGAGCGCCTGGCTTGGGAGCCGTGGGCTGGGCTGCGACGGAGTCCTCGGCGTGGACACGGTGCCGTGGAGCCCATGGAGGACCAGGCCAGGTGCCACGTGTTTGTGGGCCTCGCGGGACGGAGAGTCGCTGCACAGCGGCCTTCCTGGGTGGTTGGGACGGGCTCACCTGCACACTGGAGTCTGTGCCTAGGTGACTGACCCCGGGCACGTTCTCCTGGCCTGCAGAAGTGGACTGGTCAGGGGCATGAGAACCCCGGGCCTCAGGCCTGCCCCCTCTAGGTCTGCTGCTTCAAGACAAGCATCTCGCGGTGCACGAGTGGCCGAGGCCCCTCCTGGGGGGGACATGCTGGGGGGGGTGCAGGTGCATCGAGTCGAGGTAAAGGATGCCGCATCTCCGCCGTCTCCCGTGTCGCCCAGCACATTCTGGGCCGTGAAGTCGCCACGGCTCCACGTCACCTCCCCAGCCCTTGCTGCTTCCCGCCTTCCTGGCGCCCCCTTCCGTGGTGGGCAGGGTGCCTGGAGCCACCCCTCTGCTGGGCTCGTGCCATCACACCGCCCACCCCGGGCACGGCCGGTCGCACCCCATGCCTCAAGGAGACGCCCGTGAGACACGAGTCTGCCAGGGCCTGCCGTCGTGCGTGGTCTCGGGCCGTGGCAGTTCCCACTGAGAGGGCTGCAGAGACCTGCACTGGGGGTGCTACCCGGGCCGGGGGGCCATCCGTCCCGTGGAGGGGAGTGCGATGGCCAGGAGGCGCTCCTCGCAACCCCAGGAACCCGGGGCTGTGAGCCCCAGCAGCGCGGGGAGCTGCTCTCAGTGAGCCGCGAGTCCCGTGCTCCCCGAGGGAAGCAATGGTCCCGTTGCTGAGGGGACTGGACTCGTCCAGACCGAAGGGACGGCGCGCAGCGGCCTCCCACGGCAGCGAGGTGGCCGTGTGGGCTCGGGGGTCACTGCGTGGAGGGCCTGCGGCCTCCCCTCGGCACAGCTGGCTCTGGGGCAGGAAGCCGCCGCCGAGGCCCAAGCAGACCAGTGCAGCAGGCGGGCCGCTGGGCCTGGACACGGGGCGGGGCGCCGTGGACACAGGGGCCGGGCAGGCGGCGGGGCTGGCTGTCCCTCGTCAGGTGGCCGCGAGCCCTGCGTGCCGCAGCGGCGCCCAGCGGTCCTGGAGTTGGGTGCGCGGGGCGGTGTTGCCTGCGGTCGGTCGGGGCTTGTCTGGGGCGGCTGCAGCCTGTCTGGCTCCTGTGCCCGACGCCCCCACGTGCACCCTGGACCGGCCTCCGGCCGGCGCCACAGGACTGGTGCAGGCCAGTCCTGGGTGTGGGAGTGCACGCGTCGCCCGAGAGGCTCCTCGGCGGGCAGAGGAGCGAGGACAGCGGCCGGGGGCCTGGACGGCAGCTGCAAGCCAGTCTCGGGCTGAAGCTGCCGCAGGCCCGTGCCCGCTGCCCGCGCTGCGGGTCTCCGCGTCACCTGCTCTGCCCCCGCTGTCTCCGGGCAGTCTTACCGGGACGGCATCCCGGCTCTCTGCAGAACAGTTTGAGAAGAAAACTAAAAACTAATTCTAAGAAATACGCGAAACGATGCCGTTAGGTGTGGCTGGCTTGGGCGGGCAGACGGGGGTGGGGGCGAGGGGGAGGCCGATTCCAGGGCGCCCGGTGGGTGAGGGTGGGGCCCAGGTGGACCCTGGGCGGGGGCGGCCTCTGGTCACATCCTGCTCAGACGCGGGCTGGCTGCACGGAGCGGGGGTCCCTGGTGAGGGTGCGGGCAGCGGCCTGCCAGGCGGTGCTCTGACCGGCCCGGAGAGGGAGGGCAGCGTCACTGAGGCCTCTTGTCCCCTCCCAAGGGGAATCGGGCCTGGGGAAGTCGACGCTCATCAACAGCTTGTTCCTGACGGACCTGTACCCGGAGAGGGCCATCCCAGGAGCCGCAGGTGCGTCGGGCGGGCGGGGCCTCCCCCTGGGGGCACAGCCCCGGCCCAGCAGGCGGTCCTGGACCTCATTTGGGGGGCTGTCCCCCCTCCTGGGGGCGGGAGGCCTGCCTTTGAGGGAGTCCTTGCGGGAGGGCTTGCCGCATTCCCCTGCAGACTGGCTGAGGGGCCCCGCGATATCCCCCGCAGAGAAAATAGAGAGGACGGTCCAGATTGAGGCGTCCACTGTGGAGATTGAGGAGCGCGGGGTCAAGCTTCGCCTGACAGTGGTGGACACGCC